GCCCCGCCCCGCGCGAGGGAAGCCCCAGGCTCTCGCCGGCGCGGCCCTCCCCTCCCAGCACCCAGTCTGCAGTGGGGAAGCGAGTACCTGCGGGGCAGAGAGACCCGTCCCGTCCCGTAGACCATCGGATCGGACAGCTCGCTGGAGGGCTCGGCGTGTTGAGAGTGGTCTCCAGGATGCCCACGAGGTGCAGAACGGATGACACAAAGCGGCCCCGACCCCGTTTTTTAAGCCTCCGAGGAGCCAATAGAAGTCCAGTGTTAAAAACAACAACAATAACGAGATGCTAGGCGTTGGTGGCTCACACCAGTGATTCCACTTATTCGGGTGGCTGAGAACCGGATAATAGCACTTCTAGGCCAGGCCGGGGGGTAAAAGACCCTATTCCTCCCCTCCCTCCAGCTCCCCTTTTCCTTGATTCATTTCGATAAATCTTAGATGCTGAGAGGCACAGAGGCCTTGGGTTCCACTCCTAAGAGTATTTTCCTTTGGGCAACACCCTCTCTTTAATTTTTTTTATTGTTATTGTAAAGGTGATGCACAGAGAGGTTATAGTTAGAAAGTCAGGTAAAGAGTACATTTCTTTTTCGACAATGTCACCCATTCCCCCCCCTTTCCTAATTTTTCCCTCCTGTTCCCCACTAACAAGTTGTAAAGTTCATGTTCAACATAGTGTCCAGTGAGCACCATTGCTGCATTTGTTCACCCTTTGTCCTTCCATTTCTGCGCTTCCTCTTACACTCCCAAAGACATATATAAATGAACAAAAAGAAAAGAAAAACAGCAAAAAAGAGGGCTGGGAAGGTGGCTCAGTGGTAGAGCACTTGCCTTGCATGCTCGAGGCCCTGGGTTCGATTCCTCAGCACCACATAAGAAAAAAGCCGGAAGTGGCGTTGTGGCTCAAGTGGTGGAGTGCTAGCCTTGAGCTGAAGAGCTGAGGGACAGTGCCCAGGCCCAGAGATCAGGCCCCACGACCGGACCCCCCCCCCAAAAAAAAAAAAAAAGAAAAGAAAAACAGCAAAAAAGAAAAAAGAACCTCTTGTTTCCATTTCCTGGAGCAGGATGCTATCTTAACCACCACAATGTGGTGTAGGGTCGTACCTTTCTTTCATCCCAGCTTAGGCACAAAATGCTAATAGGAGGACTGCAGTCTGGGCCGTCTTCACAAAAAAGAGAGAACTTAGTCAGGTGCTGGTGGCTCATGTCTATAATCCTAGCTACTCAGAGGCTGAGATCTGAGGATAACGGTTCAAAGCCAGCTGGCGCAGAAATGTCTTGAGATACTTGTTTCCAGTTAACCACCAGAAAATTGGAAGTGGAGCTGTGGTTGAAAGTGGTAGAGTACTAACCTTGAGTGAAAAAGCTCAGGGATACTGCTCAGGCCCTGAGTTCATGCCCCACAACTGACAAGAAAAAAAAAAAAAGAACTTATTTGAAAATTAAAGTTAATAGGACTGGGTGTATGGCTCAAGTGGTAGAATGCCTGAGGCACTGAGTTCCAACTCGGGTACGTACACAGAAACCAAAAGAAAATGAAAAATAATGGTAAGGGGCCAGGGTAGAAGGTGGTCTGGAATTTGGCCTGTGGGAACATTTATATGGAATGTGTACCAGTGGAACATTGCTCCAATGACAGTGTACTTAACTGGCTTTTGGTACAGTTTGTTGCTTCCCTGAAAGTGAGTGTAATATACATAAGGCTACCTAAAAGTGCCCTAGGAGGGGGGCACAGTGTGGGATTTTAGGTCAGAGGCCTAGTGAATTCTGTATGTCTGGTTAGATAACATGATGTAATAACATTCTCAAATGTAGTACTATAAACCTGTATGTACCTCCTCAATGTACTGAACTGTGAACAAGATTGTAGGGAGGAGGAGGCAAGGAAGTAGTTGTCAGGGAAGGAACCCATGGATATTTTTATTTTTTTTGGCCAGTCCTGGGGTTTGAATTCAGGGCCTGAGCACTGTCCCTAAGCCTCTACCACTTGAGCCACAGTGCCACTTCTGGCTTTTTCTGTGTATGTGGTACTAAGGAATTGAACCCAGGGCTTCATGTATGCTAGGCAAGCATTCCACTACTAAACCACATTCCCAGTCCTTCTGTCTTTTTGCTTTTAGCTTCAGTACATCTCAGTTTCAGACAAAAAAGCATTTCTAAATGCTACCATTTTTTTTTATCTCTTTCATTGATAGTGCCACAAGAACACCACATTTCAAATGACATTTAATTGCAGAATACACACATGTATGTATTAGATTAGTTGAATATTTAGTGCCAGAGTTTGAACTGGGGCCTTATTTTTGGTAGGCTGGCATTTTCCCACTTTACCCACAACCCCAGCTTGGCTTTTTGCTGGTTAATTTCAGAGATAGTATCTCACACTTTTCTGCCCAGGCTAGCTTGAAATTGTGATCCTCCAGTCCTCAGCCTATTGAGTAGTTAGGATTGTGGGCCATCGATGCCTGGGCTCCATTATGATTTAGTTTGTAAAAGTATGTTGATTAAAGTGGCAAGCAGCAGATGTTATTTTTGTTTTGTTTTGTTTTTTGGTTAGTCGTGGGGCTTGAACTCAGCCTGGGCGTTGTCCCTGAGCTCTTCAGTTCAAGGCTAGTGCTCTACCACTTGAGCCACAGTGCCACTTCCAGTTAATTGTGGTTCATCAGAGATAAGTCTCACAGTCTTTCCTGCCCGGGCTGGCTTTGAGCCTTGATCATCAGATCTTAGTCTCCTGAGTAGCTAGGGTTACAGGTGTGAGCAACTGGTGTCCGGCTACAGCTTTTTTTTTTTTTTAAATTACATTCAAATTAAAATTTTAAAGCAACTGTTGGAGACACTTTCTGTTTTTCTTCACAGGATTTTTACCTCCTATAACTCCACCAGAAAAGTTTTTTCTTTCCCAGCTCATGCTGGCACCTCCAAGGGAACTCTTCAAAAAGACACCTCGCCAGATTGCATTGATGGATGTTGGAAACATGAGCCAGTCTGTGGATATTAGCGGGCTTCAGCTGGCCTTGGCTGGTAAGGAGATGTTCTTGTCTCTTATGACAGATTCTAAAGAAAGGTCATTGTGATCTCTGTTGTGCTTAGGTAGTATTTCTTACTTAAACAAGTAATTTCAATACTTTCTAAATGGAAGTCCATTTTTGTCATTTTGTTTGCCTTTTCAGTTTTAAACAATGCCAGATAAAGGTGTGTGTTTGTTTTAAATGTTCGTGCTGGTTAATGGTATTGTTAGGGTGTCATTACTACCCAAAATAGTGTTCAAGTTGAGTAAGATTCTTCCTGTCAAAATCCCACTTTTTTTTCAGAAATAAAAATGTCCATCTCAGGTGTTGTTGTGCTATCCATTTTGAAGGCCAGTTGTCCATATATGTGAGTGCTATTTCTATTCTGTCCTGATGTCTAGTCTCTAAATTGTGTTTAGGACAGTACTTAAACTGTTTTGGATGCTGTAGCTTTGTATTAGGGTTTTGTTTCATTTTATTTATTGTGGTGCTCAGATGGAAGGTAGGGCCCTGTACCTGCTGAGCAGGCTCTTCCCCCTGAGCTAGCCTGGTCCATGCACTGTTTTTCTTTGGAACACTCTAAATCTCACTTTTCAACTATTACATTAACAGTAAAAAATCTTTTAAGATTTCTGAGGGAGAAACTATACAAAAAGTAAGTTACCATGCAGAATAAGGCTAATAACAGATTAAAATTGTTTTGCTAGGGCTGGGAAGGTGGCTCAGTGGTAGAGTGCTTGCCTTGCATGCCTGAGGCCCTGGGTTCGATTCCTCAGCACCACATAAGCAAAAGAAAAAAGCCGGAAGTGGCGCTGTGGCTCAAGTGGTAGAGCACTAGCCTTGAGCTGAAGAGCTGAGGGACAGCGCCCAGGCCCAGAGTTCAGGCCCCACGACCGGACCCCAAAAAAAAATTGTTTTGCTAAATGAAAGGTGGTTGTACAGTAGAGACCAAAGTCATAGGCAGTCTCACTCGCC